AGGACTGCATGCCTATTATGTTTTTTTTTTCGTATTACATATGTTTATCGGGGTATTTTCAAATAAATTGAGTATTAATTTTTTCAATCTCTGTCATTTTTTTTTGTGATTGCTATGATTGCTTATTACAAAAAAATTAAATTGGTCGAGGTCGTTTCTGGGGTGTATAATATGTTGCCTATGCAAAAATTGTCAGGCATGAACGGATAAAAGGAACACCCTGTATAGCACTTGTAATTTAAGACAATTACGTCTGCAAGATTTCAAAGTATTCAGTTTTGCAATTCTTGATTTAATCAATAAAATTAATTGACTCAGTCATTAATTTTTTTCAGACATCCTGTATAAGCAAATCTAAAAAACATTAATGCAGTGATAAATCACAAGTATAGACTCATCATTCTTTACACTTTTAAGATTTTTTCAGCAAAATTTTGCGGCGGCGTCAACAAATTTTTAGGGGATATGAGCAAATACATTTTGATCAAAATTTTACCATGCTTGTAAATTTAAAACATCTTCAAGGTTTCAAAGCATTCGGTTTTGTAGTTCCTGATTAAATCAATAAAATAAATTCACACATTCATTAATTTTTTTGAGTCACCCTGTATATGCAAATCCAAAAGATATGAATGGAATGATAAATAACAACTACAGACTCATCATATTTTGCACATTTAAGATGGGATAAGTAAATATATTTTGATTAAACATTTATCGTGCTTATCATAACTGTAAACCATCTACAAGATTTCAAAGCATTCTGTTTTGCAGATTCAATATTAAATTGCAAAATGTTGTCTCATGATTTTGATTTTTTTTTCCAAAAATCTGGACGTTTCGGGTAAAAACTCAATTCGGAGTCATAAACTACATGTGTAGGACTATGTTATTTTATACAATTTAAAACCCATTTACTATGTACAATTTTGAAGTGACGTCATCGCATTAGTGGTGGGGATGATTAGAGAAATTTTGGTTAGCGTTTTACCATCTACATGATATTCCTAATATAAATACAAATTTCACAACAATTGGTCTAGTACTTTCGGAGATTGTCTGTCTAATAAAAATCCGGGACGGCAGACAGACGGACAGACGGACAGACAGACAGAAACGGAAGACCTATTTCTTCGTCCTCTAAGTAAGCCAAACTGAACAGACAAAAAGTATAGAGGAAAAGCAAAATATTGGCAGGTGAACAAAGTTGTAAAGGAGAGTGGTAGAGTTGATAAAAGAAGATAGACAGAAAATATGGCACAATTAGCAACAAATAATCAAAGAGGACGATCAACTGCAACGAGGGAAGGAATACTACAAACATAATTGGTGTGATTGAAGAAAATACAGAAAAATATCCAAACGATGAATATCTACAATCAGATGAAAATATTTTACAAATAGACATAGAGAAGCCAACAAACGAAGGAATTACAAATGCCTTTTGACACCTTTGAGAAACAACAAAGCACCTTAAAGACAACATTTCAACAGAATTGTGGAAAACTGACATTAATAACAGTACTGAACTAATAGCAGTTCTATTAAGAGGAGCCGCTACATTTGGCCCTTACGATGTTGTCAATACATTTTCATAATGTAATATCTTCATTATTAATATACCAACTTTCACCTTAAAATACGAGGGCATTGTTTTTAAACACTTTGATATATATATTTTTTTCATTTGTTGTAATTTTTGCATCACGTTTTTGAAAAATCAATATTTCAGTTACTTATGGAAATTTTGGGACGCGGTTTCCACCAATGTTTTCAGCTTACAAAACTTTAGAAATCGTACTAGATATATTTTCAACTTTATTTGTTGGAACTGAAATGCAGTAAATAGCAGCGTCTAGCAGCTTCTATGACACAAGCTTTCTTTAGAAACTGTGTCCCGTTTTTTTAACAAAAAAAGTCGACTTTATATTTTGTACGATTTCTGAAGTTTTGTAAGCCGAAAATGGTGTTGAAAACCGCGTTTCGAAATTTCCTTAAATAATTTAGATTTGATTTTTAAAAAAATGTTATGCAACAATTTCATCAAAATAAAAAAAAACTACCCTTGTGTTATATAAAGAAAGTTGTAGATACATTACATTTAACATTTCATAACCATTAATGGAGATATTACACTCTGAACATGTATTGAAAATCCCATGCAGAAAATGTGGCCTTAAAGAAACATATGGGAAAAAGAAAACATACCTCCAGAATAAAAGAATGGATTTATATTAAAGCTCCCAAAAAACAAAAAGTACAAATATGTGATAACAAGAGGGAAATAACGTTGCTTTGTACTATAAACAATATCCTGGCACATATTGTCCACAAAAGAATAAACACAAAAATAGATATGGAACTTAGGAAAGATCAGGCAGGATTCAGAAGAAGATAAGCATGTATTGACCAAATTATCATCGAAGAAACAAAAGAAAAGAGGGGCTTAATTGTAATGACGTTCATAGACTTTAAAATTTAAAATACAGGAGAGTCCTGCAAAAGATAATACGCACTAAAATGGATCATAATAGGAAGAACAAGTCGGGGAAGACTAGCAAATATATGGAAAAGAATGACAGAGGATGATTATAGAAGAGTACTGGAAAGAGTTAAGAATAACAGGAATAAATATGTAACGTACCTCTAATAGTGCCAATTAAATTCCCAACTAATGCCATAAACATCACATGTAACAAAGTCAGAGCAAGTTTTTTTGATCAATTGTATTAAATTTGTGAAATTGAACAGTTTTAATTTGGTTTGAAAACATTGTTATCGTGAACGGCAATACTGATTTTTATTCATTTTATTATTTTGCGCTTGTTACAAAACACAAAATTTAAAATACTAAATGCCGAAACTGAAAACATTTACCCGTATTTCAGGTTAAAACTCATTATACTTGTTCCATTATGATACTGTTACGAAGTAAACCATACGCCGCCTCGATACGAGGTCTATGAGTTTTCTAGTAAGTGGGGCGATGACCGGTGACCCATCATCGGTGACGGCGGCGTTCGAATAAAGAAAAGCCTGGAAGCGATTTGCGGGAAGTCTCGACTGAGGACTCAGAACAACCTCGAAAACGCCGATCGCGAACTCTCCAGAAGAACACAGACCACTGTCGTGAACCGGCGGAGTAAATTCATTTCAGTCGATTAATGAGTACAAGTTAAGTTGAGATCTACATTAACGCTGTATAGTTAGTTGTAATGATATGAAGGAATTGACGACATGTATTCTTGTGATCACAAATTATATTCCTACTCAATAATTATGTCATAAAACAAAAAAAAAAAACCTCTTAGTCTGATTGTAAAACATTATTATTATTAATCATTAGGAAAACTAAATTCCTATTTTAGAAAATGACCGAAGAAGCACCACAATATCTAAAACTACCTTCACTGAGAAATATAATATTACCGCGCTTAGTACGGGTAACCTTCGTAAGATTATTCACATCTTTCTCAAAAAGCATAAGGTTTCGGACGTAACGCCTTCTGACTTTGAATCAACAGGCAAGCAATGCTGAAATTGTTGTGGTTTCAAAAAGATATGGCTATAGTTTCGGCTGGTGAATTATTACTGTTGAATAATGGATTCCACCGAAAGGAAACCTGTACGTGACATTATTAATAAATTTAGAAACGGTAGTGTGTAACGCAGAAATATTTGAGTACAGTGTTTCAGATCCCGAACTAAAACAGCATATGGGAAAAATTGTAATCAATAATATGTGAGCTTAAATAAAACTAAAACAACTACACAGCATCCCGCTGTCATTTCAAGAAAACTACTTAGTACAAACTGAGGGAAATGGATTAGGAAAGCTTAAATCAACCCCACTCTCACACAAAGATAAATTTGCGGCAATAGGTAATTATAGAGAAGAACATGCATATTGATGAAAATGAATAATGAGTCGTTAAGATGTAGATATGCTTGTCTTATTCATTGTAGTATAATTAATTACTGCCATATATTTACAGAAGAACATTTGAATATGTGTTCAAATTATGTTTACTGAAAACTGTGACGCGTGGTTTCGCTTGCTGGGTAAGCAAAGTTTTTTGAAACTTACCTATTAATTTTTTTGATTCCTCGCAAACAAGCTATTCATTACTCGAATACGGTTGAATTTTTGATGTACACGCTTTAAAAAATTACCTATTTATTATTTCCATTTTCCATATTTCCATACATTAAAGTTTGATCTGTGTTAAGGTTTGTGTGTAATATACTTATCTTTTTATTGTCATGTCTTTTTAATATCATTCAACAGATATACAAATTTTATTACGCCATAAATTAGAACTGCCAGCAACAAATATTATACATTTACATATGGAGATAATTTATATACATATTTTTCTGAATTTTTGATTTTTAAGGTTTTCAAAGGTACTTCATTTTATCATATTAATACAGACTTATTTATCAATGAGGCAAAAAATTAACATCTCATCATCATCATCATCCTCATTGTTTTTCATGAGCTTTTAAACATCTATGGCTACGCTCACATTTAGATCCTCGCCTTGGATAAGTTTTTCCCAATTGAGGCACCAAAACCAGCTCCCAAATCATTTCGGAATGGCTGGTGGCCGTGATTCGAAACACACTTTAGCAAAACTCATCTTTTTTCGTAGTGACCCATAAATTTTATATGGCCGCCCCTTGACTTTTTAAAACCGTTCTCATTCCGAGGATATAAATAAAATCGAAAACAATTAAACGCTCAAGACGTCCAACAACAAACCCATAAAACCTTTTTCAGAAACCGATAATAAAAAAACGCACCCCCATATATTTGTGTGCAAACGTTCGGTCTGTTCAAGATTAGCAATCAAAAATGTTGACTAGGAAGCAAAAACTTCTCCGCTTGATAGATGGCAAGACCCAGGGCGGCGGCGCGCTGCAGAACATCGCTGACACTCCGGAGTCCGGACCTTAACCGGAGTTTCAGTCAGTCGCTGCCGCGTCACGAGCTTGAGCTTCGCTATGACGTCCGCCGGAAGGCTCGAGCGAAAGCTTTGAGCTTTTGCGTTACGTGAAAGTGCCACGTTTCCCTAAATTAACATGGAATTGCACGCTCGGGCGACTTGAGCTGGCATGCAACGCCACTTTTAGGTAAATATGGCCCACACGATAACACTCGAGAGCAAGTTTGCTTTGCGAAATTGTATTCAAGATCCTTGTCCGATTCCATTACGCTATCTTAACAGCGCGGATTTTTTATGGGAGCTTTTAGGCCGGAACCTGAGCTTTCAGCCGGCCGCGTTTTGCGCCTTATCCAGGATTTGTTTCTTCATTCTTCATCTCGGGAGTAGCGGTTGCGTAATTATTTCGCGGATCGGTTGATGAAAAGGACCAATTTTACGCTCGAATAAAGCGTAATTTCTTAATTATCTCCGAAATTGTGTATTTCATTGAACTGTTCAAAGTGCAGAGGAGCATTGTGACGCCCTAATTGAGTCCGCTTCAGGCGAAATTAGATTTTAATTTCGAGTGCAGTTTTATATACCGCTATTTTTAATTAAACTAATAGTATGTTAAGCCAAGCTTTTCTTTTTGTGTCACTGGGATGTGTTGAAAATGAGCAAAATTTCATTAATTTAGAGTGAAGGGATTTGTGCAGGCTAGTGGGCGTCTGTCTCTCACAAAAATTAATAAACAAATTTAACAACATATAAAAAGGTGTTTTTAAGCTAATAACGTTATCAAAGACATTTTTACTCTTATTTTAGGTAAACATTAATTTATGGTTTTAGATTTCACTTTCACCTTTCAGTCTTCTGTTTCGTTTGCTTGTGGGTTGCCTTATTTATGTTTCATAGGGCGTAGGGATGCATGCCTTGAATTTTTAAAATCCTGCCAACTAAGATAATTTTTTTCTTATTTATTTATTTTCATAGTTTAATCGCTGCAATCAAATATTTGGAATTACTAATTTTCTTCTCTGGGAAATAACTTTACAGTATCAGCAAAGTACTCATGTGTTAACTGCAGATATTAAAATGTTCTGGCTTTTAATAACAAATAACAAGTCTAGCGGAAAATTTAAACTCAAATTGTATATTCAAGTCAAACAACATAGCGTTCTTAAATGTAATAAGAAATTCTTGTACATTTGCATGCCGGTGATGACTTTTTTAAAATGCAGCTTCCCAGCTTTGCACAATTTTCGCCTTCCGTAAAAGAAAAATTGGAAGATATAACTTTGAGAAATTACATTTTCTAAAGGACACTCTATGAGTCCGTGTGTGTGATTCTTGTTCTGTATTTTTTCTAAATATCAAGTTTTATATTTTAGCGGGAATTTCTAGGAATGGCATTTTTATTTTTTTTTTAATTTTGAGTAGTTGAAAAAATTTAATTGTAAAGAATCAGTGAAAAACAGCCGTGCAAACTGATTTGACAGTAATGAGGATGTTGGTGAAAATTCGAACCTCAGTATATTTATTACACCAGGTGGTCTGTTTGTAAATAAAGATAAAGAGAAGGAGATGAACTATGTCCAATAATATTGATGAGTTCCTGGGTGAGATTACTCTTTTTTCTGTTTTTCTAGTCAGATTTAGATTACCTGTGATTTCCTCCTATGCCATTTTTGTTTTAAATAAAAAAAATTGTTATCCAAAGATGCGATGTCCTGAGTTGCGATTTGACTATTTACTATCAAGCAAAGGACGATTACCTATCTGGGTTTGCTTAAATCTAGGATTATTCTGAGAGCGATTTTCTGGACGGCCCTTGCTGTAAATTTATTCCTTAAAGAAAGTTAATCGTCTGGCAGTCGAACAGATCACTTACACTTTATTTGGCTTGCCATTTCTTGCTTTCCTAGCTTTTCCGAATACCATATTTTTAAATGAATCGAACCCTTTATTGAACTGTTAGTAACATATTTCTTGGAATAACTTTGCCATTTTCCTTTTGGTACACTTTTTGTACCCATCTCGGTTGGTGTTTTCTTTTTCTTAGCAAACATAATTTTTTTTAGTGTGTGTAAAATATCTTAAAATTACACACAAGGAAATGTTTTTCAATTCTATTTAGAGTAAAGAAATAAAAACAAAATAAAAATTTAATTTAGTTTACAAATTTCGAGATCTCGAAGAAAATTTTTCTAGTTTTCACGTATTCTTTTATTTAATATGAAGCTCTTATATTTTTGTACATTGGGGTCGGTATTACTGAAAAAATACTTGTCCACATACCTTTAGTTTTAACTCATTACTGAGGAGACACACAAAACAAAACAATTTACTATTTTTTTCACAATCGCACATCCACAATCACTACAATTTTATCGTGGTAAGACAGAGGATGATTTTTTATTAAACATTTAACTGAATTAATTATTTTTATTTGAAATTAAACAATTTCACTTGCGCAGAATGAAAATCAACGCCCGTAGTTGAATTACTGCTAGCGGTCACTCTTTCAAATCTGACCCGATTCCAGCGACTAGAGGCGTGGTTTCCACGGCAACGGTGTAAACAAAAAAATCTAAATGAGTCATGATTGGGTCTCCGTTTTTATCGCGACCTTACCAACGATACAATATCTTTAAATGTAAGTTTTAATAATTATGACACAAACTTCCGGATAATTTTTTAAATATCGAAAATTACTATTCTCCTATGTTCAATGTGTTTGTTGACGTTGTAATTTTGGCACCAGCCGCCCCTGTATTACTGATGAAAATTGTAAGCGACTTGTTGCATCGATAGCTCTTAATCAGTTCATCATTATTTACTGCACAGAAATTCGCTTAATCTATTCTTTCATTTAGTCTAGTAGTGCAAAATTTGTAGTATTTCTTTGACAAAGTTAAAAAAAGAAAACTGTTTCTTTATTTCTCTGATTTGATTACTAAGTTTCATGATTTCTCTAAAACGGTGAAACACCTCAGAAAACTTTCTAGTCGCGACATTATTTTTTCTCGAAAAATGCGTTTCCCGTTTCCGTCAGTCTGTCTGTGTTCAATCTTAATTATATATTTTTAATGACGCTCCTCCACAACAAATCGGTTAGAAATTTGTGTCATCAACATCGCCATTCTAAAAATGTTGCTCACTGACACGGAATTTGTAAGACCATAGAAAAGTTCTAATGAAATCGAACTAACTAAATTATCTAATTTCGTTTAGCTAGCCTAATTTGCCCACTCATTCATGACAATACTGTTTCCTAATTGGCCACTGACTGAATCTGGTTGCAAGACATCGTTCAAAGAACTGGTAATTATTTGGAATGAATGAGATTGGACTTGAAAGGCCATTGATAAAAATACCAGTGAATGAATAGAAATCCACAGAGGTAATTCAAATTAAATCTGACCTATTGTAGCGTTAAAAAAACTGCCCTTTTGGTGATGTACAAGAATGAAACAAGTAAAATTAGGTGGTTGCGCAACATCGTTAGTGTACGACGCTACATGGTTTTTCTATATCGGTAACAAACGTCGTATTCCTGTACTTTACTTATTCATTATCATTGTTCAACGCGTTCGAATAAGAAATACGTATAAAACAGGAATAGGGTGTTTACAAATTGAAATGCAAAGTTAAGTAATTCGGAATTTTATATTATTGATCTTCAGCAGCGAATTTAATCAAATCTTCTAGTCACGAAAAAAGTGAGGGCAAATGTAGCTGATGGTTTAAAAAAAACCCAGTGAAGTATTTTCCGGTACACAAACAGGGAAAAGTAAAGTCTGTGTTTGTGCAAACGTGGATCATATCTCCTCTGGTAGAGTACATATTAATTAATATGATTATAGTGTGGAATTAAAACACGAAAAGTTTCAATATTTCATGTGTTCGATTGCAGTTATGTGAGTGATGTGTAAAGGGTTTACATTTGGCAGGTCAGTGTTACCTAAAAATCAAATTTAATAGCTTAATTGGTTTGGTTATAAACTAAACTGGAATAACATTCAAAAATAAAATCGAACTATTTTGCATACAATTAATAATATAACATAAATATAGTGATTTAAAATGTGTGCATCGAATTAACACAAAGAATTACGTGTGATAGCAAGCAGAAATAAAATTTTAATAGTTTAAATCCATATGCCTAGGGTAAAAAATTAAGAAACGGATTCGTAAACTACAAATATAGGAGTATGTTATTTTTTTAAATTTATATAATATTTATTTGTAAAATTTTGGGGTCATCACATTGCGGATGATTAGAAAAATTTTGATCAGCGTTTTACCATCTACACAGTAATCTTAAAATACATATAGAGTTTGATAACTAAAGAGCGGATTATATATAATTTGCACATCCCGTATTTTGATATGACAAATAAATGCTTTAGCATGTATCTCAATTATCATTTTTTACTTTATTTAATTGATTGACGTAGATTAATTATTGGAAATTTTGACAATCTGTTTGGGTTTTCCTAGTATTTTTCTAAATAAATTATCCAGTGTATGTTATAACGGTTCTTAGTCTCAAGTCATTAAAGTTTAACGAGGTACATTTCGACTGGGCATATAATATTTCGTAAGTGATATTGGTAAGTAAAGATGGCGAGAATAATTTGACAAAATATTTCGAATTCATTCATAACTAAACATTGAAGAAGGCTGGTGATAGTAAATTATGTGGAAAATGTCAAAGTAAGAAATATATTACATAACATATAAACCGATTTGTGGTATCAGTTATCTCAAAAGTGGTTTATCTCAAGGGTAAAGTTTGTATTTCAAAACTGAGAAAAGTTTGATATGAATAGTGTTACGAATAATAATAGGAGGAGGTGTTGTAGTATCTACTTTTATTAACCCCCGACGCAAAAAGAGGTGTTATTATAACTTTGAAGTCTTTGTCTGTCTGCTGTCTGTGGCACCGTAGCTCCCAAAGGGATGAAGCGATTTCAGTACGTTTTTCTTTGTTTGAAAGCTGTTTTAATCGGGATGGTTCTTAGCTATGTTTGACAATAATCATTTCAGCCATTTTAAAAGCACCAGGCAATCTTAATCAATCTTAACAAATTTTAGTGTTCAGTTTGAAACATTGGATGCATTTTAATATTTCAAAGACTCCTATTTCTAATTGTACACAAATAAGTATTTTGAGTCATTAAATTTTGGAGGCTATTTCAGAGA